CCCTGTAGCAAGGCGGCCCAAGCGAATTCCCGCTGTACAGATTACCACGACTGATCCCCTGCAAGCAGGACCCACCGATCCCCCTGTAGCAGGGACCCACGATTACCGCCCTGTAGCATGGACCGCACGATTTCCCCCTGTAGCAGCGCTGGTCGCCTTACGCACAGGGCTCCTCCTGAGCAAGGGGCCTAATTCCCCTACGCGCCAGATTCCCACCTGTAGCATGTCGGTCTACGCATTCCCCTATAGCAGGGGCCTTCACTTCCCACTGTAGCAAGGACCCCACGATTCTCCCTGTAGCAGGGACCCACGATTCCCCGAGCAGCGGACCCACGAATTCCCCTGAGCAGGGGCCTCGCTTCCCGCCTGCTAGCAGGGGCCCGCCTTCTCATCCCCATTGTATAAGCAGGGGCCCACATTTCCCCTTGGTGAAGCAGGTGACCGCACGATCCTCCTAGTAGCAGGGGCCTCACTTCTCCTGTAGCAGGGACGCCTCGATTCTCCTGTTAGCAGGGGCCACACGATTCCGCTCTGTTACAGTGCGTTCCGGCCCTAGCAGTTCACGATTCCGCAAGGCCGACGTCCGCCTGGTAAGCAGGGGCGCTCACTTCTCCTGTAGCAGGCGACCCTCGATTCTCCTGTAGCCACACGATCCGCTAGCGGCCCACGATTCCACCTTGTAGCAGCTTGCCCTCACGAATTCCCCTGTAGCAGGGTGCCTCAGAGCGCCCTCTGAAAGCGTCGACTATTTGCATTCATCTTGTATGAAATGCGTGTGATGCTCTATGTGGCCAGACGGTACAGAACAGCTAGGCTCAATTTACAACTGCGAAATTTCCAGTTACTAGAACGTCAACGCGTATTCAAGCTTACCAGCGTAGTACCACGAACCTACCATTAATATAGCCTAGTGATCCAGTATGGACCGCTAGACCCAGCTATGGCGGATGTAAGTCGTGCAGCAGTTTGCATTCAATGGCGCGAATTTGGCCGATTGCATTCGTGGCAGCAAACGCCGCGCAACTCGCATAATCGCGCGGTACTAGCAATTTTTTTCACCGACAGTAATACATTTACGTGGATGCGGTCTCAATGTAATTATGGTTCGCCGCAGCAGTGCGATGACACCAGAGCTATAAGCACAAGCAGCCCGACATCAAACAGCGCGTATAGCGCCGTTGATTAATTTTCAAACTCAGCGCCTTCCGTCGCCGAAAATCTCGGCAGTGGGGCGACACGTAAGCATTCAATACGCGAGCGGCTTCGATTCCGCGCGGGGCACGCGGGGGGCGTGATTTTTTCCTAGATAATCAAGAACATAGGGCTCTAGTGAGTGCGCTGCCATTAGTTGATAGCAAGAGTGCACGTGTGCCTCAAGAACTTCTGTTTTTGGCTGCAGTTGCGCACAGCTAACCGCTAACCCGCGTAGGGATCAGTCGCCCCTGCGTGCATCATAGTCGGTTGCGTGTTTGTGATGTGTTGCAATGACGACCACCGACGAACGTGAGCGTGGCAGCGATGCCGACCGACGTGTCCCAGCTTTGGTGCTACTATGCGGCCAACCGAATTGGCAATTTACGATTCGGTCTTGGCTTTCGTGCGATTAGTAACGCGAAGGTGTCCAGTGTAGTATGCGTATATCTGAGTCGCATCAGTACTGATGCCTGGCCCAGAGAATGCCTACGGATCTCTGAACCATCTAGCTCACATTTAAGAGAAATATTACCATCAAATCTCTCCACGCTGCACCTGGAGCTTTTCGCGAGCGGCACTCCCTGGACGTTTATCTCCTTACGACTGTCCAGTAATAAAAGTAAAGTAGAAGTAGAAGTAGAAGTAGAAGTAAGAAGAGAGTAGAAGTTGTATCTAGCGTTGTGTCTCAAAATAGCCGGCTAAATAGTAATAGCATAAGCGATGACATCTATCAACAGTGGTAAGGTGGTTAACAGTGTAGTAACATTATATTGCCTGAAGGCGACCGGTGACGAGCGAGAAGACAATAAATACAGAGAATGAAACGGATTGGTTGATACTGATAACGCTGGCCATAAGGCGCATGTTCATCGTAAAAACAACGGAGTCACGTTTCAACTTCGCCTGTATAATTGGTCCTCACAGGTGACGAGTAGCTGCGCGGCGATACTCCGCGGATCGTGCTCAGACCGCATGCCTAGCAACGGCTCTTGCTCTCCGTGCTTATCAAATGGCAATGCCTGTAACGTGCCTTCCAGCATCCCGCGTAAACCCGCACGAGACTATTACTTTGAAATACGCGAGCTCTTATCAATCGCCAGCTGCGGGTATATTTACACACGTCGCATTTCGAAATGTTAATGCGCTTGCAGCCGGCATAATGCGCCATAATCGACAATGAGTTCGTATAAGACATGAAGCTCTTTATGTTCAAAGTTTCCATCCCTTTTTAACTCTGTAACAGCAATAGGTTTTCGCAGGAGCGCGTTCGATAAGATGTCGAAATAAATGCTGCATGTTTTAGCAGCAAAAAACTAGGCGTGAATAAAAGAGAGCAATTGTTCGCACTCGCCCCACTCCCCGGCAAAAAACGACTAACTCCCAATGATCTGCTATCGGTAAAAACGAAGGATCCAGTAAATTCTTGACGTCTGCATATAGAGCCAGTCACGAGGCGCTAAAATACACCCAACGATACAAGCATCTTATGACAAAACGCGTTTTGATGCTGTTAGGCTAATTATGTGCTAATAGCTACGGCCTTATTGCTGCCATGCGGGAAATACAATGCGCCTCTGACGAGTGTATCGCCGCTGGACCCATCGTTAGGATGGAGTTTATTCCGACAAGTCGGCGTCGACTTACATATAAACACGCACGCACAAACACACGCGCCGCTCAGCGCACACGTGTTATATGGTATGTAGTACATCTCTTTCTCGTCTGTGGGGTATTTCTAGCGATCGAGTTCGAGTGGCTCCTATGCGCGTTGCCGTAGCGCGCGTGGAATATCGCTTAGCGCAACAGCAGGACGTCGCTTTCTAAGCCACATTTGTCTCGCGTCGCCGACATCGTCTGGGCTGCGTGTTAGAAAGGCTTTCCATGAATGTCTGCGACCTCGCAAATACGTAGCGTCGTCCGGGCGCCGCGGCCATATGTTCGGAGGCGGCAAATCCTCGAATGAAACGCAAATCAGATTGCGAGAGAGACGTGACGTCAAGTTCGACAAGGAACGGCTTGAAAAACGAGATAGCGTGCCGTTAGGGAGGAGGCGGGGCAGGGAACCTACTCGGCTAACGGCTGAACACTGGTGCTCGAGGAAGTATCTTACGCGTGCTTCGCCGCTTGGTACGAACAAAGAAATACAATACAAAAACACGCTAAACAATACAGCGAAATACATAACTTTGGTAGCGAACGTAGTTTTGTGACAGGGAGACCAGTATTATGTGATGAGTTCGTTATAGCACGACTGCGTCGAGGGTTGCATATAACTGTGGACGCCGGAGGGAAGGTGTGACCGTCGCCATGCCGGCGACAGCTTAAGTCCGTACACACGGCAGCGCCGTTGAAACTCGAAGCGCGCTTAAGCTCCGATATATATGCACGAGTTCTTCCCTTCCCCCTGCGTGGCGCGCGCGCGTGCGCGTGGAGCGGGATACACCTCGTCGCTTGCCGAGACGAGTAATGCAATACTCGTTCGTCTCAATATATGCCGGGATGGTCCAGGTTAGAGCCTAGAGCTCTGCCGGAAGGAAAGCGCCATGGGGCTAAAAACATGAGGCTTCCTGACAGTGAGAGATTACCGAAGAGTTGTTATCTCTGGTGAGCGCAATGAGTCATGACGCTCGCGCATTTAAGTCTGAGGGTGGAGTATATATATATATATATATAATACTAGCGGGATACCCGGCGTGCCGCGGGAAATCTGTGCGTTACATCAGTTGGTGACCGCTTGTGTTGAAAGAAAATACCCAAAAAATCATAACTATCTATCTATCTATCAGTCCATCCATGCATCAATCCCATTCATGCCATCCCGCATCCCATCCCAAATCGCACACCGCAACCGCATCCACCCATCCCATATCCCATCCATCCCATCACCATCTCATCTCATTCGCAAATCTTCAAATGCCATCAGAATGCCATGCCATGCCAGGACATGCCATGCCATGCCATGTCCATGCCAGCCATTCCCATACCATGCCATCCCATCCCATCGCACGCATCCAATCTCCACATATCATCTCCCAGCTCCACGCCAGTCTTCCATTCCAGCCATGCCATGCCATCCCATGCATCGCTATCCCATCCTATCCCATCGCCATCCCAACACAGTTAAAAAATAATAAGAAATCAAAAATAAAAGACATTTAAATATAAAAAATAAAAAGTAAAAAGGTAAAAATTAAAAATAATACCATACCTAAACAGGGTTAGGTAAAGGGAAAAAAAGGAAAAAAGCGGGAGAATAAATACCCAGCTGGGATCTCGAACCAGAATCCGCTGTAGGAGACGGATGTCTCTAGCATTTAGGCCACTGCCGCCGTTAAGGCGTATAAGTGCCGTATACACCAATCAGATTCACACGTACATGGATGTTATACTGGTACGCTACCAACCATCTATTGAAGATGAATTAGAAATTTATTACTTGTGTTACTTTTTACTTTTTTTAAATTTTGTTTCAGCTAGAACCACCTCGCAAGACTTGCTGATCTCGAAATATCATTTAGTCTTTCCTTGTAGGCTGGGAAGAGCTCTTTAGTATTGCGAGAGCGAACTAGTTCGGGAGTAAAACAAATTATATATAGAAGATATATGCGGCCTGTTACAGGTGTTTTTGTAGACGCGGCTCATTAGAAACATGGCGATACAGCGTAGTAATAACAGCAGATAGCTATACTTACGTGGTCGAACAGAGCTGCAGGAATATGTATCGACATAATGGTAATACGCATGCGCGAGAGTGATTTTTGGTAGGGTACGTTTTCTAAATTGTAGCAACAGATCGTTAAAGTCACCTTAACTCTTCTTTGTAGCTCTTCGAAGACATTGCATTCAAACGAGAACTGTTGTCCCTAACTGTGCACTGCATCAACAAGGAAAATGGCTGTGAGTGGAAACACGAACTGAGACAACTAGAGGTAAGAGCAATTTTAAATGATCCATCCAACTACGTAAATTATCCAACGTGTGCGTTTTGATTATGAAAAAAACCCCAGACAGAATACACTGAGTCGTGTATAGTATAATATAGTGAAACGACATTGCTGTTATCCGAACTTATCGTAAAGTTAACTTGATTTTAATATAATTTTATCTCGCAGTTGTAGCGATATATCTCACATTTACACATGTAATTACACAGTATTATAATTTCATTTTATTGTTCAGTCGTTTTCGATATTGATGCGCTGCGCTTTTGATCATTTTATGTAAAAAGCGCAATATAAATAAATAAAATAATAATAATAATAATAATAATAATAACTAGAGCACTCGGAGAGCGCAGACCTCCGCCAAGGCAGCTGAATTCTCTCACTGTGAAAATTTTAATTAATTAATTAATTGGATCCGGATCACCACCAAAATGTAATCAATTCTAAGTTACCCCATTTCTGATCTATCCTGATAATTTAATTAATTAATTAATTAATTGGATCCGGATTACCACCAAAATGTAATCAATTCTAGGTAAGCCCATTCCTGACCTATCCTGAAAATTTCATGACAATCCGTCCATAACTTTTTTAGTTAGGCTGTACACAAACAAACAAACAAACGCACAAACCCACAAACCAACAAACACACGCCGGTGAAAACATAACCTCCTGCCAACCCCTTGGCGGAGGTAATAAAGTTACATTACACGATGCAAAAGCTATTAGCCGCATATAAAATGTTCGTAAATTTTCTTGTGTGCAGGAGCATATGGAGACCTGCATATTTGCAAAGGTTTGTTGCCCGAACGAGTGCGGCGAGACGATGTGGCGTCTGATGCTGACGGATCACGTGAAACTCACCTGCTCGCGTCGGTCGATCACGTGCAAGTTCTGCGCACGCATCATCATCTTCCTCGACGAGCCGGTGAGTTCGCCGACGGTGCTGCCGCGTGGTGGCTGATTCACGAGGTAGAGCATGGCGAGGGTGAATCAACCGCGCCTTTGGTAGTGGGGCATAAATGACACGGTACGCGGTTTACATCAGTGGTGGTAAATATCGCCGGATTTTATACACCAATAGGATTTTGGTAGGCACGCTTTCACACTCGAAGTTTATCCGAAGAATCGTGAATTCTTTGGCAAAGATTGTACCTAACTTATCGATATATGCAGACTGACTTAATCAATTGATATTGATAAGCTTAATTTACTTATAGGAAAAGGGGAAGCTTGGGATATTTCATTCTAATGTGGACGTATGCGGTATATTCCCTTGGTTTGTCCTTCTGCCATATTCTGATTTATATACTAATATGATGCACATTTATATACCTAATGTGATGCACATTTATATACCTAATGTGATGCAGATTTACATACCTAACATGATGCACATTTATATACTAATATGATGCACATTTATATACTAATATGATGCACATTTATATACCTAATGTAATGTAGATTTATATACCTAATGTGATGCAGATTTATATACCTAATGTGATGCAGATTTATATACCTATAATGTGATGCAGATTTATATACCTAATGTGATGCAGATTTATATACCTAATGTGATGCAGATTTATATACCTAATGTGATGCAGATTTATATACCTATAATGGTAGCGTATTCTCTTTTGGAGCTGCATAAATGTTTGCCGGTTAGTCTGTAAAAGTGTAAACTACCTCAGACGCGGCATAACATGTATACAAATCACACGCAGGCCGTCTAATCCTGTAGCTCAGTCTCACGTTATCCCCCATTATTTTCCCCCGCAGAAGCACCATTTGGTAGAATGTCCCTACTTTCCGATCACCTGCACAGCGTGCGGTCAGCAGAAGATACGTCGTCTGAACCTAAGTTCGCACCAGGGACAAGATATCCGGAGATTGCCGTACCCTGCAGGTTCATGAACATTGGCTGCACGTTCTACGTAAGTTGACCATTTAGACTACTACCCAACTTGTGAATGTTGTTAGACAACGGATTGCGGTATTCTCACATCATGGTTAGGATTAGTTCAGCTAGTCACACGTAACAAATACGATTAATGTATTAAGTATAAGTAACGTAATTACATAATCAAAAGTAATAAACCCTAATTAAAAACTTATGCATTATATATTTATAATAAATACATAATACTTCCGATGGGAATATTGTACAATGTCGTATAGTAGTAACACGAGCATCTCTATACTTCTATTATAGAATAATTTATTGTAGAATGTATGGTCACTACAAATTCGCGCGCGTGTAATGACATTCCGTTGCGTTCGTGGTGACACGTGGCCACACACGCGCGTGGCTGCTTCCGACGTTGCCGACCCAATCTCTCTTCGCCGGTCTATCAAAGCTCGTTTACACTGGTGATAGCTCTACCGGTGCCTCTCCCTGTAGCAGGGGCCCCACGATTCCCGCTGTAGCAGGGACCCACGATTCCCCCTGTAGCAGGGACCCACGATTCCCCCTGTAGCAGGGACCCACGATTCCCCCTGTAGCAGGGACCCACGATTCCCCCTGTAGCAGGGGGCCCATTGGCTGCACGTTCTACGTAAGTTGACCATTTAGACTACTACCCAACTTGCGAATGTTGTTAGACAACGGATTGCGGTATTCTCACATNCCCCTGTAGCAGGGACCCACGATTCCCCCTGTAGCAGGGGGCTCACGATTCCCCCTGTAGCAGGGACCCACGATTCCCCCTGTAGCAGGGACCCACGATTCCCCCTGTAGCAGGGGGCCCACGATTCCCCCTGTAGCAGGGACCCACGATTCCCCCTGTAGCAGGGGGCCCCAATTCCCTCTGTAGCAGTGGGCCCACGATTCTCCGTGTAGCAGGGGGCCAACGATTCTCCGTGTAGCAGGAGGCCCACGATTCCCCCTGTAGCAGGGGCCCACGATTCCCCCTGTAGCAGGGGCCTCGCTTCCCCCTGTAGCAGGGAGCGCCACTTCCCCTTTTAGCAGGGGCCTCGCTTCCCCCTGTAGCAGGGGCCTCGCTTCCCCCTGTAGCAGGGAGCCCCGATTCGTAGCAGGGAGCCCCGATTCCCCCTGTAGCGGGAGCGACACCTGTAGAGCTATCACCACCGGTGACAGCTCTACCTGAGTCACCCCTTCACTCCCTCTGCAAGGTGCCCCCGATTCCCCCTGTAACAGGGAGCGACACCGGTAGAGCGATCACCACCGGTGACATCAGGGGTTAAAGTGATTACGTCACCGTAAATAGTAAAAATTAAAAAAATATTTCCACTTTTTCACAAAATATAAGTAATTCTGTTCACTTTTTATAGTTAAATTGCTCCATTATACTTCCTGTTTTACTATATTGTTCGATGTGAACATACACTCGTGACTCATACATAGCCCATAGCAAGCAATTAATGTTGGAAACATTAATGTCAAATCGTCCAGGTTTTTTGGATTTTTAACTAGTTGAGAAACAATCTTATCAGGTAAGAATTTGACGATACGTTTAGTCCCGTTAGTTCTTACTTTTAATGTAAAAAAATGGCAATTTCTTTTTACAAATTTTACCATAAAAAATTCGTGGCGTAGTCAATTTAATAATGACAAATGATTTGTCATTATTCACCCCTGGTGACATCTGTATCGGTCGTTTTGCAGGCGAAACGGTCGGTCATCACGGAACACTACGTCGACCCGCAAGCGTGCGCGCGCCACCTGGCGTTGATGGCTAACGAACTCGCGCAGTTCCAGGAGACGATGTACCGCCAGCAGCAGGAGCTAGCGGCCGGTAGAGAGGAGGTGGCGGCGCTGCGGGAGAAACTCGATATGTACGCGACTGCCGCCGTCCCTGCCTCCGTCCAATCAACACCGCACGCCGTCCCTGGCTCCGTCCAATCAACACCTCACGCCGTCACTGGCTCCGTCCAATCAACACCGCACGCCGTCCCTGGCTCCCTCCCATCCCCCGGTACACTCATCCCGTAACCCGCTTTGGTGTCGGCGGTCGTTTGGGCCGGATCGATCAGAGAAGTATAGCAAGCATGGCGCTCAATAGTTGTCTCTCTTTTAAGGATTGGTCGTAATACTGGTAGTGAATGATGCAGTTATATTATTGCGCGTGAAAGAGCGACACAGTTTCAGAAGGGGTACAGAAATCCACAATTCAAAAGATGAGCCTGCCAAATATTGTCGAGCGACTTTTAATCGCCACATTGGCATATTTTCGCAATTTCCGCCGTTTCATGTTATCATTATTTCCAAGTTTGGTCAGAAGAAATTGTTCTGCTCAGCCCTAAAATGTGTGTACGTGTGTGTGTGTGTGGTGTGTGTGGTGTCGTGTGTGTGGTGTGTGGTGTGTGTGCTGATGTGTGTGCGTGGTGCTGGGCATGTCGTGTGTGTGGTGTCGGTGTGTGTGTGTGGTGTGCGTGTCTGTGGGTGTCGTGTGTGTGTGTGTGTGTGTGGTGTGTGCGTGTGTGTGTGTGTGCGGCGGTGTGAGTGGGTAATTGTGTCGCAATGATCTGTCGAGACCGCACTGAATTATACGTATCTGATTAAAACTGTACAGATTTAAGAATACTTTTAGTTTCTCTCTTGGTCGTGGCAAGAGTTTTTCCCGCACGCACGACGCACACACGCACGCACACACACACACGCACACACAGCACACACACCGCACACACGCACAGCGCACACACGACTCGCCGCGCGCGGCACACCCAGCACACCACCCACCACGCACGCACGCTCGCACGCAGGCACGGTCACGACGACAACACGCTACAGACAACGAACGCCGGCGCCGCACCGGGCACATCAAGCACGCACGCGAGCAGCACACACGCACGCACGCAGCCACGCTAAACACACACACGCTAACGCCCCGTAGCCCAACCACACACACAGCACACACACACAGACACACACACACACACACATACACCAAACACTCACAACACACACCCCGCAACGCAGCAGGATACGCTCGCACGACACGACGCACACAACACACACGCACACACGCACACACAGCAACACAACGCCACACCACACACCACACCCCACGGCCGTCGGACTCCCAGGGACACCATACACAGAACACTCACACACACACGCAGCACACACGCACACACACCACAGCACACACACACGCGCGCGCGCACGACACACATACACACACGACGCACGCTCGCACGCACGCAGGCACGCCAACACACACACACACGCATGCACACACATACACACACACCGCGCACGGAGCACATCACATACGCACGCACACGCACACCACGCACGCACGCACGCACGCACAGACACATACATATCAAACGTCTCCACACACACCCACGAGCGCACACACGGCATCGCACACACACACGCGCCAGCGCACCGCACACACACCTCGCTCAGCCAACACGCACGCAGGCACGGCACACACACACACACGCATGCACACAACATACACACACACGCGCAACGGACACGCACATACGCACGCAACACCACGACATGCAACGCCACGCACGCACGCAACAGACACCCTCACATATACAACGCTCCACACACACACACGCACACGACGCACGCACACACAACCGCACGCACGCAGCACCACACGCCTCGCACGCGACCGCACGCTCGCCGCCACGCTCGCACGCGCACGCTGCGCATCGGCACGCACTCTCGCACACGACACGCATGCACACGACACGCAGCAGCACACCCACACGCACGCACGCACACGCACACACAGGCACGCACGCACCACACATACACACACACGACACGCACGCTGCAACACACACAGCATACACCACGGTACGCATGCACGCACACCCACACACCACACATAAACAACACACACACACACACGCAGCACCACGCACACAACACACCGCACGCAACGGCCACTACACACACACACTCACGCCACACACACGCACGCAAGCCACGACACACCAACACACACACACACAGCACACACATACGCAGCACACACACACACCGACACACACCACACGACGATGCACACACATACCCGACACACGCGCGACGGACACACAGCATACGGCGCGACGCCCGACACGCACAACGCAACCAACGCACGCACGCAGCAGACACGACTACATATACAAACGCTCACACACATCACACGCACCACACGCAGCGCAGCACACGACAAACGCGCACGGCACGCCACACAGCACGCTCCGCTCGCACGCACGCAGAGCAGCGCACACACACACACACCGCCATGCCACACGATACCACACACACGCGCACGGACCACACCGACACTACTACGCCACGCACACGCACACACGCAGCCAACCACACCGCACGCACCGCAGAGACAGCAAACATATACAACGCTCACACACACACACGCAACAACCACGCACACACACACGCCGCACGCACGGCACAGCACTGAGCCGCTCGCGGAACGCACGCACGCTCGCACGCACGCTCGCACGGCAGCTCGCACGGCACGCACTCTCGCACACGACACGCATGCACACACACGGCACGCCACACGGAGGCCACACGCACGCCCGCACCACGCACACAGCAGAGCACGCACAGCACGCACACACATACACACACACACACACGCACGCGTCACCCCCCACACACATACCACGCACCGTACGCATGCACCGCACATGACACACACACACATAAACAAACACACACACACACGAACGCGCACGACCGCACACACACACGCACGGCACACCGCACAACAGTACACACACACACTCAGCACCCGGATGACACAGCACCGCGCCCCCACGCGACACACACAAGACACACACCACCACACACGACACACATACGCACACACACACACGACACCACACCCACATCACACACACACACACACAACACCACACACTACCACACCAGCNCACGAATTCTATTTTTATCCTCCAATCACAGGTCGGAGCAATTCTTCTGTTTAGAGTCTAAACTTTAGACGCATGTCGCTAGCACGCTCTGCACGCTAGACCCTACGGCAGTACAAACATTGTTAAACAATGGGGCCACGAACCAGTCTACCGATCGATCGCTTGACAGTAGCTGTTGACATAGAACAAACGGTCTGATTGTATAAATGACACAACTATAATCAGTTATACGCTCTCATAGCGAGGTATTTACATCGCAACCACATCGCATGGGTGTTTTACTTGAAACAGTATAGTGAAGCGCGTAGTGTCCCCCAGGGTACTGCCGGAACGTACCCTGGGTACGGTCCGGTATACCGGAAGCGAAATTTTTTTCCCCACTAGAGTTCCGGACCACAGCCAATCAGCGCACTCCATTCACTCGACTTCCTCGAAGCAACAATGTAAAATGAATACCCCCTATTCCTAACCCTAACCCTAACACGAACCCTAACACTAACTATAATATCCAACCATATATATACGAACCATATATTACAAAACACTATATCTATGGTGGGTCCGGAACTCAAGTGGGAAAAAAATTTCGCATACCGGAACGTACCCTGGTAACTATCTAGCTGATATGGTTAGGGTTAGGGAGTAGGCGCAGGCGGCTCCCTAGACTCGTTAGTGGAGTAGGCGAGGTACGGTCCGGCATATTAGATATAGTAGTATTTAGTACCAGGGTACCGGACCCGGTATACCGGACCGTACCCAGGGTACGTTCCGGCAGTACCCTGGGGAACATAGACCCTATCAGCCATAGGAGTAGGTACATCCTTATCCAATACTAACATCAAGGTTGTTATGTGGAAGTATTTGGACGGAGCTCGTCCTCCACCTCCCAAACGTAATTAAGTCGCAGGAGGAGAAATTTAATGGCCATGCAGCGTGTATATGATGAGACTAAAAAGATGCGTACGTTCTAGCCAGCGTGGAAATGGTCATACCCGTGGCTAGAGCATGACCCGGCTAAGGGTATGGCCTGTGGTGCAGGCTGTATGTCTGGTAGTTTTTTCACCGGCACTACAAATAATCGTTTGGAAACTGATACTTCGAGCGCATGTTCACAGCGCATGATGCTTCCGAGGGGCACATAAAGATCATAGCAAAAAGAAATGCAAGGACCATGTCTGTTCACGAAACAGTGTGGGCAAAAACACTAACTTTAATAAACAAGGCCATAATAGCAAAACTGAATATCCTAATTAGAAATGCACATGCTATTGGAAAAAAACGGCAGGCCCTACACCGATTACGTCAAGCTGTGCCAGCTTGACAAGACTGGGGGTTAGATGTCGGCAGCACTTACCTCGCCGACAAGGCCTGCCAGAGGTTCATTACGGCGATAGCCGATACAAGGCGCCGGGAACAACATTTCTTTTCTTATGATCCATATCAAAGTTACGTATATTTTATACAATTGAATGTCTTTTACAAAACCTTTTTGGAGGAGACCTCTTGTACCCTGGGGAAAACCCCCTGTACCCCCTAGCAGAAGGGGGGCTCCACCGTCCTACCCCCCGGCAAATCACAATGCTCGTCACTTTGTGCTTATAGTAAGAGTCCTTCGGCAGGACTAGTAGAATCTTGGAAGGAGTAGTACATTTTTTCTTTTACTAGTCCTGTGGACCAATGAACTAAAATGGTTAGTATCTAATCCTGGCAATATCTTCGAGAAGAAGAATATTTTGCAAATATTAACGGAGCTCCGAGCGGGCCGAAGGCCCGCGAGAGCGGAGCACCATACATATAGAATGAGGGAATTTTTTTGCTGGACTTCGTGGTCCGGTACCCCCACCCCATAGTGCATTGCCCTTAGGCTTGCCTATATATATATATATATATATATATATATATATATATATACACGTTTTCCATTGTACGTTTTCTAAATTGTAGCAACAGATCGTTAAAGTCACCTTAATTCTTCTTTGTAGCTCTTCGAAGACATTGCATTTAAACGAGAACTGATGTCCCTGACTGTGCACTGCATCAACAAGGAAAATGGCTGTGAATGGAAACACGAACTGAGACAACTAGAGGTA